TTTAAAGCCCCACCCTGATATTCTCTGGGGTCGTTCATTATTGCTGCAGCTGTTTCTGTCTAAGTGAAGTTAGGGTCAATACGCACCGTGGCTCTTTGACTGAGAAACTTTTCACTCCGAGAACAGCACCGAGAGCATCCTCTCCGCAGTGAACGATGTGTTGCTGCTGCTTGTCATATAACTCCTTGCCCATGATATACTTCCCCAAATAAAACATAACCTAAACACAAACATAAACAAAAGAGTACAGTTTAGAGATCCACAAGGAAACCATTTCCTGAAACAAGTGAGTTGAGAGAAAAAGATGTGGCTGGTATTTAAATACAGATGAGTAATACATTCCTGTTAGTCAGACACAACTTCCACCCATAAAAAAAAAAATGACTCATGGCATTATGCTAAAAAGTTGACAACAGATGAAAATATAATTAACATTTCATAAGTAGGCATATTATCCGATTATCTATATTACTGCCCAGTGCACACTACCAATGAAAGACAGAAATTAAATTTTGTAGTTTTAATCGTTCATGCAAAACCTATTGCCATTTTATATATATTTTCTAAGGTGTTCAGAATGGTTTCTTACCGGATTGACTAAAAAAAAAGCCCTCCCTAAAGTCTCTAGGCATTACTCAGGTCTTTAATGCAAAAAGTCTGATCACTTACAGACGTAATCAGCAGCAATATATGAATTATTATTCATATGTAACCCAAATTGAAGCTTAATACTTTGGGTTAGGGGTTTGTTCAAATCCCTAAAGCAAAGAATGAGTAACGTGGAAAAAAAAAACATTCTTGTCTTGCAAACACCAAGAATGAATATCTCACTGGATAAAGGCAGTAACTAAATATAATTCACCACCCACTGCCCTAGATTATTTTAGCTAGCAATTTCAAACACCACTGCCATATGACCACAAACTCATTTCAGAAACTCTCAAATAAGTGCTTAAATGAAAGACTTTTCACACAAAACATATGGCAAGGTCCAGCTACTAAAATAACTAGCATAATTCTAGCAATAATAGATAGAATAACACCATAAAGCATGGTATCTATACTGATGTTTAAAAGTTTGAACGGACTAGGCTAAAAACTGTTGTCAACAGACACATCTCCTCACCTCCTTCATAGTGAAAACATCTTTATCTGCACCTGCATCCTCTAACAGCCTTTTTAACTGCACCTTTGGTCTTACCTAAGGAAGTTACAATACATAAGACTCAGTCATTTCAAGAAATAAACACACATTTGAATACTCAAAAGAACACTGCATTTACCAGTTTTTCATTGTCAACCTTGTTGATCTGAGAACTGCTTAAACAACTCTCTGTTGCCATATTTGTAGTGATCTGTAAAACAAATGAACAGTTGTTACATAAAACAAATCGGAAGCAATTCAGCACACATAAAAACCTCAGAAAGAGCATTACCTGTGCAAATGGAGATAAATTGGATATTCTACCTAAGAATCTTCTATATATACTCTGCTAGCTGTACATAAAGTGCTTGAGCGCTGGGTTAGTGAGGAGTGGGAGCCGGCTGAGAGCCAGTCTATGGTTTAAATAGACGCAGAGAGACATGTCAGGGCTAGAATCCACCACACCGATCATCATGTCCTGGGCGGGTTCGGGCATGACAAGTCAAAGCGTGACTGGCTTCCGACTCCTAGTGGTGGAAGACGATCTTTGCTGAGCTGTCTGTGTCTCTGCGATCATGCCCGGGCATGTCCCGACTACTACACTACACCCGCCCATTGCTGGCTAAGCACATGGATTTGAAGCTTATCAGCCCAGTGACAGGTGAAATAACGAAGTGTTTGGACCAAAGCGATGACCAGCCAGGATTATTAGAGCCTCAGTCAAATAAACCAAATAAACTAACCAAAAAGACCAAAAGTTCATCATTTACAAGTCCTACGGATGGATGGATGTCATGCGAGTAAAGCTCCAAATGTCTGTGGAATACGACAGTGCTTTGTTTGTTTATCGGAAATGCTCTGCAAACAGTAGTAACGTTACACACTAAAACACAACAACAACCTCAAGTGTGTTGTCTTCTGGATTTATATCTGACATCTGCGTCCATGGGAATATCTCCTCCATTCAAATTAGCTGCGCATGATTAATGTAAAACCTGGAGCATCAATTACCGTACTTTCCCCCCAGAGGTAACATGAAAATAGATCGACGTGTAAATGTTGTTTTACGTATGAGATTAAACTTAACGTTACATGTGATCGACCAAGACGATTAGTCTTGCGCGCTTTTGACCTGTCAGGTTTCAGTATGACAAAATAAATATTGACAAATGACAGGATAAATAACAAAAAAATAAAGTGCGTAATGTGCTTTTCTCCAGCACGGAATCAACACTTAACTGAATAATGCATTTTTAGAGCTGCTTTAGTGCAGAATTTGTCTCATATTTGACGAAGTTTAACTTACATCATTGATCGTTATTTTCCTGTTTATCACCGTGAAGCTGCTTTGAAACAATCTTTATAGTATAAAGCGCTAACGTTATGTAAATATAGGCGAATTTACTTATTCAGCATAAACGTCACGCAAGCCGCTGCTGTGTTTGTTTACGTAACTTACGTTACTTTTACACATTTCGTAATTTCTTTACAAGCTGATTAGTGATAATAGTATTGAATAATCAACATAAAATGCTTCTCGCCGAATGTGGAGTGTTGCGTATTTGAGCGACAAGAACTAAGCTGTTGCTATTGTTACAACGAACGCCACAAATGCGCGCTCTCGCGGGTGTCTGTTTCCCGCTGTGGACACTCAGGAAAACCCGAGGCTGCAGTAGGCCGCGCTTAGAGCTAGCGCAAGGCTAACTGAGGCAAAGGATTTCAGGCGACTACACGGATATTAAAGTCTCATGCCGTGTTAAAATAATAAGCTGGAGCGTTTAGCAGTATTTGCAGATATATGCAGCCTGATAGGTGTAATAAATATATGAGAAAGTGCGAAAATTGTTAAACTGAAAGTGTTAATAATATGTCTTACCTGCTGGTGGCCGTTGAGAGGCGCGAACTCTAACTCCCTCTACTGGCGACCGTTTGAATTTGAAATGTTCCAGCACGTGCACTAAACGCGGGGTGTAAATATCACACAATACACTCGAGTTGAATATTATTTACACTTTCTACTCTTGCTGTTTTACTGTGTATGGGTTTAAAGTAGCTCAGGTTTAAAATTGTAAAATCGCTTTTATATTTTCAGGTTAATAAGACAGGATTGAGCATAATCTGTGTTGTTGTAAAAAGGTTTTTTTTTTGTCTCCTTGTTTTAATATAATATAGTTTTTGCAGCTGAGTTCTGCATATATCAGGTAATATGTGTGAAGCTAACAAGAGAATATGACAACAAAGTAAAAGTGTTAACAGTTTTTGTTTATTACATTTAGTTGTAGAATGTTATTCTCTGCTTGCCCAACGTTGTAGCCTATTTAAAACGTATCGAAAACGAGCAATTTGGTTTGTTTAAAGATTTTTGTTTAGAGATTTTTAAAAACATTGAGATACTTAATTTTATAAAAGTTAGGTGACAAAAATTAGTTAGGTATAGCTACATTATCTAATCTGCATTTTTAAATGGTTTAAAATCTAGTTAATCTGCTCTACACGTTTTATGAGCTCTATCCTGCCTTTTTAAATGCTTCAAACAAAGTATATTTTCACATACTTGTATTGTTTTGAATTAAATATACAATTTAATTTACCTAATGCTCTTGGGTTCAATTTAGTCCATGTTTTAATTGTTATATGATACATTATCACTTATTTTCATATTATTATTATAGTTATTTAGTGATAGTGTTTATTTATGATCACTTGATAATATTAGGCTAAATGCATCTCTAATCAAACCACTAGATAATGATTTCCTCCTTTGATTAATGAACTATTTTGCATGGTTCTATTGTGTTAACTGAAACCCCTTTCATCAGTTGTTTTGATTTCTTATTGAGTAATGATGACTGTTGTCGTAACATGACCCTTGTACACATTATTGTGAATGGTAGACCATCGGTTAGCCAACTACACAGAAACTTGCTAGTTAGGGGAGGTATTGTTTGCTGAGTGAAATCGGTGCTGTATAAAGAGGAGAAATGCTTTGAAAACATGTCTTGTACAGTCCCTGTGACAGGATCTGATCTTTAGGGCCCAAGCAGAATGACTCAAGAGGTTATTTTAGTGCAACATGTTCCTTTACGCTCAACATGTTTGGGCTTGTACGTCTGTAATAATGAGGAAATTCCATGGACCACTGAAGTCATCAAAAAAGCAAATCATTTAATTAATGGTAGTAAGGATAAAGACAAATCCTAAAGATTAAAGTTTAAAGCATTTAAAGTGTCAAACAAATGATCCAGGTTTTAGTTCTCATAAAACATTGATCCTTTACTAAGGCACAAACAAACTTCTTTCCACAAAAAGTGAAATTTCTGTCATCATTTACTCCCCCGTATGTTGTTACAAATGTATTTCTTCTGTGGAACACAAATATTTTGAAGAACATTGAGATGCCCATCGACTTGTGTATAATGAAAACACTCTTGATAAATCTCTCAAAATATCTTCTTTGTTTGAAAGTAGGTCATTTTTGGGTGAACCATCCCTATATTTTCAGCATTTTGGTTTACCATATCCCTTTCAAAACTGCGCAAAAAGCAGCAAAACATCTAGATTGGAGACAGGACTTTGGAATGAGATTAATGTTTAAGTTGCAAAAGAGAAAAGCATGTAGAAAAACCCTCAAGATGAACTGAACAAATGATTGACATTCCATTTCATAGACCGCAAAAGACTCACGTCTTTTTGCCAAGTAGGCAGTGACCCTTGTCCTCAAAGTTGTAACTAGACTCCATACAAGATAACATTCCATCCTTGAAAAATGTGACCAAAAAAAAAAGTTATCTGTAACTTTCTATAAAAAGTTTTATTGTTGTACAGACCATTTGAAAATACATCATTAAGTAAAACATACAAAATAAGAAAGGAAATGCTTCAACATTCAGAGTTTTTCTCTCAAACGTTCGGCATGTTTATTTTCAAATATTGAATTTAACTCTTGAAAAGATTGAAATGCTATTAAAAGTTCTCAGCCTCAATGACGTAAGCCTACTTTCTTCCAGTCTATGTTTTGGTTAGTCTTCACGCTCCTTTGCAAGAGCATTTTCCATCTATTTCTTGAAAACATCAGGCACTGAACACTGTCTGTCTTGTAGATTGGCACTTCCGCGGGCCTATGGTCTCTGTGTGAGCTTGCTTTTGCCCTCCTCCTGCTCTGCCAGTTTGAAATGGGTGTATGCCAGGATGCCAGTGAGGGTGCAGAGGATGCCCAGACCTTGGTTTAAGGACAAGGGGTCCTGGAACAGAACATACCCACCCAGTAATGTGATGCAGAACTTGAAGTGTCCAAACATGTTGTAGCTTTGAAGACAAATGTTAAGGAATCCTATTTGACAATGACTTTTGAGATCTCTCGAGGCTTATGACTCGCACTTGGGTCACAGACTTGAGTCACTTGAGCTTCAGAGTTGAGTCATGCACTCATAGAAAGAGCTTCTAAATGATTCTTTATGAACGTTAACATTCTTTGGACCATTTATAGTTAAGGTTTTTGTGTTTTACAGTTAGGCTTGTGAATATGATATTTAAAAAAGCTAATAAATCTGTTAATAACAAACAAATATATAAATAAAATATGCTGGTTACACTTTCACAGTACATGTATACAGTGTACTTACCCAAGAAAGTACTGGTAATATAATGTAACTACATGGGTTAAGGTTAGGGGGAAGGTTCAGGGTTAGTACCTAGTTATAACCCAGTTATTGTACTTGCTATAATAAGTACACAGTATGTTATTTTGGTAAAACTTTACAATAAAGTTTAATTAGTTAACATGAATTAATTACATTAGTTAAAAAGAAAAACTAAGAATGAACAATACTTCTACAACATTTGTTACGTTATTCTTGGCACTTACTTTTTTAAGATTAAAAGTTGTATCTGTTAACATTAGTTAGCACTGTGTGAGCAAACGTGAACTTGAACATTTTGAATATTAAAAATTAACTAATAGAATATTAACTAATATTAAAAGTTAATAAATGCTGTAAGAATATTTCTCATTGTTAGTTCATGTTTGTTAATGCATTAACTAATGTTACCAAATGATACCTTATTGTAAAGTGTTACTGTTATTTTTACTATTAATTTATTTAATTTTTGTGAATATACATAAAAAAAAGTATGTTAAAAATGAGTAAAATCTGTTAATATTGATGTATGGCTATATCAGTCTTGTGAATGCATAAACGTTAATAAATCGGTTCAACATAAGTTAAAAAATGTAGTAATAAAATAACAGATGTTATTTTTAATATTGGTTTATGGCTATATCAGTCTTGTGAATATGTAAACGTTAATAAATCTGTTCAAAATAAGAAAAAATGATTAATAAAACCGATAAAAACAGATGCTATTTTTAAAATTGATTTATTTATCAGTCTTGTGAATATATGTGAAATTTAATAAATCCGTTAAAATAACTATAATCTGTTAATAAAATAACAGATGCTATTTATATTATTTATAATTGGCTATATCAGTCTTGTGATTATGTAAAAATGTTAAAAATGTATAACATAAGTATAATCAATTGTTAAAATTACAGTTTTTTAAAATACTGATTTTTGGACATAAAAATTAAATAAACCTATACATAAATGGTAACACTTTAGTTTAGGGCCCAATTCTCACTATTAACTAGTTGCTTATTAGCATGCATATTACTAGGATATTGGCTGTTTATTAGTACTTATAAAGCACATATTAATGCCTTATTCTGCATGACCATATTCTACATCCCATATTCCTACCAAAACTACCTTACTAACTATTAATAAGCAGTAATTAGGAGTTTATTGAGGCAAAAGTCGTAGTAAATAGTTAGTAATAGAAATGTATATAAATTATAATTCCAGATCCTTGGCTTTAAAAAAAAAAAAAAAAAGCAGCTTGAAAACCCTTGGTTGACAGAACACTTACCTAATAAGTGGCCCAAAAGTGCAGTTTAAAACACGAGATAGTAAAGTGCTCCCTCTGCTGCTTGCTTTGAGAGAGGTCTCACTCCTAAACTCACTTTCAATGGGTGTATTCAAAACTATGAAATGTTTCTAGTATGGCTCAGGGCAACAAAAAAGTGCCTTGATTTACAGCGTCCTCTTTCATTATTAAACAAGTGTGTAACTATGCTTTAACTATTTGCCCAGGCTCTGTAAGCAAACATGTGCTTGCATTATAGGCCTAACCGGACAATTAACAGACAAGTAATGTTATAGAGCACTGTTTACAGATATTTGTCTATAGGGTGTGTTTTGCACCATGAATAGAAGAGAAGGAAATAGCCACAGCTGTTGGTATTTTAGAGAAGTAGCAGAAAGGATACGTAACAGGAGACGTGTTCCCAATGATCCAGTAAATGGACAGATTAACCAGAAAGGCTATTACACCAGACAGCAGAACCATAACCTTGATGAAGGGGAGAGAAAAAAATCAAGAATCAACTATTTGAAATTGCAATTGATCTTAAATTGAGCTTTGTGAACTTTTTACCCAATAGAGGGGAGTAAAACTTTAAGAATTTGTACTTTTTTCCAGGAAATCTGGGCAATAACACAAAGCTTTCTCTGTGACTGTGTTTGTGTAAGAAGGACATTCCTTTGGATAGTTGCAGAGGGAGTGTGTGAGCCAGTGAGAGAACTCGCTCTCTTACCAGGGCCTGAAATGACCAGGGGCCAAAGATCCCGCCCTCTCCGCTCAGGGGTTCGAAGAACGGCACCAGGACCAGGAGAAATGCAGACGACATGGGTGCCTGATAATACAGTAACTGCATAGAGTTCACCTGCAGCTCATGCTGTTTGGCACCGACCCACTATATTAAGAGAAACAAGTCATTAGTCAAGTAAATACAGTATAATCAAAATATCTGAATAATTAATGAGGGAAATAATTTTTTTATGGTCAGGAATTTTACTGGGATCCATGAAAGTACTTTCTTTATATATATAATTTATTTTGTATAAAAGTGGTAGATTTGTTATATAGCCACTTTTTTTATATGTTTATTTTAAAAAACACTAAGAATGTGTGGTTGATTCGGTTTGGGGACCGTTCGTTTTTAAAAAATTTTATAAAAAAGAAGTCTCTTCTGCTAACCAAGGCTGCATTTATTTTTTCAAAAATACCATAAAAACAGTAATAGTGTGACATTATTACAATTTCATAACTATGTTATTAAAATGTAATTTATTCCTGTGATGTGAAGCGGAATATTCAGCATCATTACTCGGAAATGCTTCGGAAATCATTCTAGTATACTGATTTTCTGCTCAAGAAATATTTCTTATTATTATCAATGTTGAAAACAGTTGTGCTGCTTTATTGTGCTTTATTAATTTAAAGTATCCTCAATATAAAAAAAGAATAAACATTAATATTATTAATAATTATTTAGTTTAATGATCATATCAAAACAATCAATGAAAGTTATTATAAATACCAGAATTTCTATATTGGAGGTCTCTGGGTTGGCCAATAGTCTGACTTCTGATTTATGGGAATGAAGGGATATGACTTTTCCATGAGGATACCAAGTGAGATTGCCATTATACTTACCACTTGATACAGTGAGGTTACAAACACCCCCAGTGTGGCAAAGATCATCCCCAGAAGATTGAACTTCACATCATAGTAAGAGTTCAGTATGACCCCTAAAGTGATTGGCACCTTTAACACACACACACACACACACACACACACACACAATCAATAAATTAGGTGTGGGAAAGGTGGTGCAAAAGCAGATTACAGCTGGTATGTGACCATAAACAAATCTGTATGGTATGACTTGCTTTAATCAGCATTTAGTCTGAGCATAGTTCAAACTGATGTATGGCATGCGTGTGCATGCAATAAAATTGATGAAATTGGTGACAGTTATAATAACACTTAATAATATCAAGAAACATTATTACAAGCATATATGCATATTTTTGCATTTACAGTGTGGTCCACAAGCCTGATATACCAGCATAAAACTGAGTGATTTTTGTTTTATTTCTTTTTGAACACCAGATTCATGAACTACTGATATGTTGAGTAAAACGTTTGAATGACTTGTTAGACAATATACCAGTCGAATAAACGAAAACCCACTTACTAGAGTCAGTTTAATCTTTGTGGAAAATGTCTTTCTGTAGTGCATGGTCTGGATGGCTATAATCACGGGTGTTGTCATGGTCTTGGCCAGCTGATATGTTCCTATAGTGTTGCTTTGGAGAGACAGGTTCGTGAAAACAACAAAACCACAGAAACTCAGAGCCAACAGGATGATTTTAGAAGGTCTGAGACTCTTGGGGGAGAATATATCCATCTTCTGGCAAATATACAGCCCCAGCCATGTCACTACGAAATGAATGAGAGTCATGGTCATGTTGGGAAAGCCATAGTGCACATAGATCCATTTGTTGATGAACACTATGCAGATTGAAGACAGTAAGTTAGCCAGGAGTCCTGCAATTAACCGGCTGTTTCCAAACAAGTCAGAGAGTCGCGTCGCCATAGTTGAACTCATTTAGACGCAAATAATTCTGGAGAAACCGTTTAGGTGTCTGCATCAGCAGAGAGAAATATTACTCCACTGCTTTCTGTGGCTGAATGTGTGAAAGCGGTTCAGAAGAGCTTTCATTCTAGGACTCGAGCCCCGCATTCACTCACTCAAAGCACTGCCACGGCCGTGACGTGCTTAAACGCGACGCGACGCTCGCAAATGAGGGATGTTTTTGGAAGGTAACGGTCGAACGCGAAACTCTCGCGAGATTCACATACGCAGACAAATAATAGTAACGATGCGCATGCGCGAGAATTTCACAGCAGGACGGTTACCTTCCTTATATACATGGCACACGCTCTTTTACAGTCTATGGGCACACGCGGCACGCCACGTCACTGTTCTTACGTGCTGTCTAGTCTAGTAGACAAAGTAAGAGAATAGCCGACTTTTACCAAAGATTTTGCAAAAAATGTGGTCCCTTTTATTAATTCGAAGAAATTTATGAAAGTATTAGTGGTGGGGGTTTCTAAAATTACAGTTAAAACAGCTCAAACAGGCATTTTAGTCGCAGGCTTAAGCCTTGTCTGTGAAACCTCAATCAATTCATTATAAACAATATAATAAAAAATAATGCCTTTTTTCCCATTCATTTTTGTAAAAATTGTATAGGGTTTCTAATGACCCGAGGTGTGTAAACAGTGTAAGCATTTTTTCTGCACAACAATAATTGAAATTTGATGATTGAATAAGTGCAATTCATTTTTATTCTATAAGGTGGCAATGTCTGATACACAATGTTGAAGTGATGTTTCACTTATAGTTGGCGCAGGCAGAAAACAAAAGAATAGGAAGTATCATCAGCAAAATTTTAAATGGTTCAGCGATTTATACTGAAGCCAATCAATTAGTTGTGTCAATGTCACTTGATGGTGGATCTGGTGAAGAAGTTGCAGCGATCAAAATATTGATTTAGAATATTTTGAAAATTATAGTTATATGTTTGAGATCTCGAATATGAGCCAGATGCTGAATGTGCTGGGAAATGAGCTCTGACGAGGACAGTGATGATGGTATAAAACATCTGCTCAAACTGAACCCTTCCAAGCTCCAAAAGGTAACCAAATATGCTTTATTTTATCCTTCTGTAATTGTTACTCTAATATCAGAAGAGTTTTATATTATAGTGACAGGTAGAGATCCATCCGTGTTAGATATAGATCCGGGTCGCTAAAGAAAGACCCGAATATTTAATGATTAGTGAAACATTCATGCATTTAAGGGTTAATGATAATAACGAAGACTTAGACTCATTCGTTAGTTAGTTACTTAATATAATGCTAAAAAAAATCATGAAAATAATTTTCATTATTTAGTTATTTTAATATGTGAAAGTTAGCAAGGAGAGACACGCTTCTCTGATATATAAATGGCAATTAGCCTCAATTGGTCAGGCATAACCAATAACATGATATATTTAAATCCTTCAACCTGTTTTTAGTTTAGAGCACTCTGATTAAATATGATAGGATAAAGCATTTAAAAAAACATGTAGAAACTATATATATTGTTTTAAGATTTAATAATTTCCAGGACTTTTCCAGGACTGAGATCACTATTTTTTTTATTCCAGATTTTGATATATCCAACTGTTTGATAACCATGTAACCAGACTGACCTTTGTTCAGAATACCCAATGTCACCAAAAGGTGGCAGCACAGTCCCGCCAACTCACTCATCCTGCCTCCTATGATGTCATAATTCAGACAGCACATTTTCCCTCAGTATAGAAATGCCGTTTATTGCGAAAATTGGATATGTTCCCAAAATTCTGCTGAAGTGCAACCTCAATATGTTGATTTCTCCTCTGAAACTGAAAACATTTTCTCTTCCCCTGGTCTGATGACTGTAATAGTTCATGAGTATTGAGTAAAGATATATTAGTTGCCTCTAACTGTGTCTGCACACAGAATTTATCCTGCAGACAGTGTGTTAGTAGTGTGATGAATCTGCTACCAGTTCCTCACAAATGAATGTGTGTGTGTTTTCAGTGAGCTACGAATGCCGCGAGCAATCGTTCATCTGCAGGCATCTGCATGAAATTGTTTCCCTCTTGAATCATTAGGGGGCTTAATTGACTTTTTAAATGAGGATGAGCTGCGTATACTTGCTGTATTGATTAGAATTTCAAGGAAGTTCAGATCTGTGTTACTAATGCCCTTGATAGATGTTTATTCCTTGTTCTTTCCCGCAACCAAATAGGAATAATCTCCCAGCCAGTAAAGACACAGACTCACCCCTATACAATCCATGTGATTATATCCCCATTGAGCCATACGAAACATGTTTCTTCATTTTTTTGTTCTGCTTTCTGTAGCTCAACTGGTAGCCCTTAATACTTAGTAGCCTACTTATACCAAAATAATACTGTCAGGGTTATGTCTTTTTTGTGTGTTTGAGTTTTACCTTTGTTCCTTTTTCCCACTTCTGGCTAGTCTCCTTGGTTACTTATTGTTTGATTAGTGTTTGCACTTTGCACATGTGATTCATTTCGTTAATTGGTTTGGTTCTGAGTATTTAAGGCTAAGGGGCTGTTTACACAACACTGTTTTTAACTAAATTCTCGTTTTTGACTTCTAATTTGTGACCGGTGTTTTGTTTCCTCTTCGCTTCCTCTGTGCTGCTGCATTCATCAATACGTCATCCATCCGGTCAAAGGTCACTCCTCCGCCGGAACAAGACTCGCGTACGGAAGCCAGTGATTCTAGTTTATAAAGTTAGGAATATGGATATTTTTCTCACAAAAACACATCGCTTCACTTCAGAAGGCCTTTATTAACCCCATGGAGCCGTATGGGTTACTTTTATGATGGATTAATGTGCTTTTTTGGGCTTCAAAATCTAAGGTACCATTCACTCCCATTATAAAGCTTGGAAAGAACCACGATATTTTTTAGTATAACTCTGATTGTTTTTGGCTGAAAGAAGACGGTCATATCGTCACGCCTGCCAGCCGGAGTGCATGTAGCCACCAGAGGGCACTCCTTCCATCTTTGTTATATCCTCATGGACTGCATTTCCCATAACCCATTGCCCAGACTAATTATTGTTTGATAACTTCCACCTGTGTGTCATACCCTTGTTAACTCTGCATATATAAGCCCTGTTTATTCAGTCACTCATTGTGAAGTCTTGTATGTTGTCACACTGCATTTCTGAGCGCTCTTTTGGTTTTCTGTTTCGTGAATTTACCCTTTTACCTGTTTTTTTTTGGATTACCCTGTTTGCCCAAGTTATCCACCCTGCATGGTGTCTGGTTTGGATAGTTTTGCCTGTGTTTATGACCTCTTGCCTGCAGTATGGATGGATTACCCTAAACTGCTGCACTTGGATCCTCAACCTTTTTGGGATAATTGTTGGGTGAACTAACCCTTTAAGTAGTGATGGCGAGATGAAGCTTCATAAAGCATTGAAGCGTCTCATCCAATTGGTTCACTCATGTGCCGAAGCTTCATGGTGCTTCATTTGCTCTATTGTGCCATCAAGTGGACAATAAATGTAAAACGTGCAGTGTGATTATAATGACACTATGGCTTTGGTGTCTGAAGCATTGAATGAATTGAATGAAGAAAAAGAAGCTTGAATAGATCGCTAACAAACTCGCAAAGTCCCAAGTCCACAAAATGTGAGGGGGAATCCAATGCATTTTGCTGGCCCTTATATTTCAAATAGACCGCCAAACCGCGAACCACTTCCTGAAGCAGTCACGTGGCACAGGCAGCTCGCGAGGCTTCAAACGTCACCACATACGTCACCGACACAAGCCTCGATACCATAGACAGTAAAAGAAATGGACAGAGCGATCTCATTGGAACTCAGTTGAGACAGTTGAAGCCCACTTTTAGCGATTTTTGAGAACTTCCGTTCCTGACGCGCAGACTCAGACCGACTCAAACTAAGCTTGATGACGTGAGCAACCTGTCTGACAGACGTGAATCTTCTAGTAGCTGTGCGTGAAAACTGCCAACGTTAATCTTGCAGAGACGGGGAACTTGAGCAAAGAGTTCTTTGGCGTGAGTGAGCAGGAGTAAGAATTCCGTTGCTTTTATGGACTCATTATCTATGGGCTTCTCCCTTGACGGGACGTCCCGCCGATTGCCTGCGAGCTTCTCCTCCTGTCTGTACGGTAACTTCTGTACAGCGCGACAGAGAGTCGAGTGGTTATGACGCAATCGTTAGCCTATTTTTACTAAATCTGTTTCTATGGGATTTATCATCCCGGATTACTCGACACACGCTTCGAAGCCTCGATACGGGAGGACACATCACTACCTTTAAGTACATATTTCTATGTAATTTAATAATTTAAATACTTTATGTGCGTTATGTCCTTTAGTGTTAGTCGACACATCAAAAGTGTTCTTCTGGAAAGCATGCTATAAAAACATGATTTGAAATGTACTTTAAAGTAACTTTATTATTACAAAGTACACTTTTTAGTGTATTGTGTTAATTAGCAGTTGTTAAAGTGTAAATTAAAGGCCACTAAATTGGCCTTTTATTCCATTATATTATTTGCACGTACATTTTTTTTTAATATATACTTTTAACTTGTAAGATTTGAAGTACACTACAAGTGTGCAATCAATACAAGTGATCCCACTCCTTCACAAAGGAGAAAATGGTTCTATGAATCATAGCAGGTTTGTTGCTATAGCTCTAACCAGCTCCTTTATAAATATATTTGCCAAATTCACAAATGCATCCTATTTTCAGTCAATATTCGATCATTTATTGAATGGGAAAAAGCAGTGTGAACTTTCTGCTAAACTTTACTAAACAGTGTTTGGTATTTGATATTTGCATGCTGTCTATGTCCGTTATGACCATGGCATTTTCGGGCCTGAGATGGGAAAATATGATTTCTCGTTCAGCATTAACCTTTTTAAATTAACTTTTGCCCTCTGACACTATTTGTCTGTTATCATTAAGTGTTCAGGTTCAAACTTTGACTGTTCATCCTCACAACTGCATTTTGGGAGACAAGACTGTGCCAGCCAGGGGTGTGTTTCCCAAAGCCAACTATGGTTGCATGTTCCGTCGTTACCAATAGAGTTAAATGGAAATTGCGATCATAGTTGGCCAACGATGCTTTTGGGAAACGCACCCCTGGTCAGCAGTTTAACAGACACAACATGGGTT